TTTGCAGGTATCCGTTGGCAGGAACAAGAAAAAGAAAAAAAAATTTAAACCGGCACCGGTACCGGTACCGGCGGTGCCAGTGACGAAAATTAGGAACCGGACACGGTACCGGTTGAGGCGGTACCGGTACCGATTCCAGGAACCGGTTGGTCGTCTCTGGTGACGGTGACGGTACTCGGTACCGCCGGTACCGGTGCCGGTGACGGTACCACACCGGTACCGTGTCCAGGCCTACAACTCTAGAATCTATGTGTACTAGTATTTTAACCCGTGCCATGCACGGGGTGGAAAGAATTTATTGTCGATTCTGAATTTTGTCAATGCAATATATTTTTCAGAATCAAGTAAATATATTATTTCTAACACGATTTTTAATCAATAAACAACAATACTAAAGTAGAATATATAATATTTGAGGAATTAAAAGTGTACTCTAGAAATTCGTTCTAATTCTAATTTTTCTAAAAGATTCTAGGCTACACAACATTTTTGGTGTGGTTGTAAGGATTTCATTGTCATCTACAACCAATAGTTTTAATCATGTATTTGCCTTCACTCGTGAAACAATTTCATAAAGTTGATCATGACTAAATACTGAATTTGTTAAATATAAAACCCTTGAGTATAACAAAAGACAATGTTTGACATTGACTTTTGTTAATAGTCATAGCAAAACATAAGGCTATTGAGAATTATCTTTTCTAGAACTTCAGGGGCAGTCCTGATTCAGATGGTACCAAATTTATCTAAGGTATGTAAACCTTTTTTCCCAAATCGATTTCCCAAAACCACAATGACATTGGTAATGTTCTTTTGCAGCTCATCAACAATTAATATTCCACCATTACACAATCTAGATATTTGGTCAATATTTTTCAATAACATAATTAGTACCTCCTTTTTAAAATTATTTTATGGTTTTGCATCCATGAACATTTGATTTCAATAAAAAAAATTAACTGTTACCCAATCATCTTCAACACTTACATTTGAATATGCTTGGCGTGAAGCATCTGAACTTAAGTACTCTTTATCTCCTTCTAAAATAGAATTGGACAACTTTATTTACCATTCAACAGCCTCGAGGACGGGTGCCAATAGTGCATTATTCTAAAACAGATTTGGTTAACTAATTCTTAAAACATTACTTGATGACATGACTTGCTGACATGTCAAAAAATACTCAATAGACATGCCACATGTCACAATTCTAGAAACCCAACTTTCAAATTTTATATATAAAGATTTAAAGTAAAAAATAAATATTCACATGTAATTTCTTTTAGTCTTACTAATCTATACATTATCAGAATAATTTTATTTTTTTGAATTATTATTATTTGAATCTAAGTTCTTTTTTTCAATTTCAAAATATATTATTTAATTTAAATACTTTCCAACTATGAATTAAGATTTAAAAGTTTTTAAACGCGATTATGATGAGAAATTTTTGTGTAACGAATACGAAAATTAATTTCCATAGAATAAGAGGGTGTTTGGGAGTGCACTGCTTTTCAGAATTTAGCTTCTCTTTTGAAGGGAAGTAATTTTACTCTGTTTGGCATGTTAACTTCTTCTTTTCTCCACCACTATTTTGTACATATAACACCGTTTTGGAGAAATAGTAAGAGGGTGTTTGGGAGTGATTAACTTATGGATAAAGTGATTTCCACAAAAGCTGAAAGCAAAAGCACCTCATACCTGCTTCTCCTAAATTTTCATTGTCACGAATCTTCTCACGCTCCCCTCCACACCTTGATCTTCTTTGTCACAATCTTCTTTGCATAAATAAGTCTCATAAAATATAATCCTATGAAGTTTCCATGTACGATATGATTGCGTAAATGAAAACGTAGAAAGTAAGTCCTCTCTCATTCAAAATTTCTTAATTTTATGGATAAACATTTTGAATTGTAACACAATATAAGTATGTACAGAGTAAATTGTAAGATACAATATAAGATTATTTTGATTAAAATAGTAAATAAAGTTACCAAGATAAAGTATAAAAGTCTTATTAAATCTTTTTCAAATTTGTTTATTTTAAATATTCAATATTTAAAAAATAGTTAAATTGTATGTAAGTACTTTAATTTCATATCATAAATAGTCATCTTACCATAAACAAAAGTTCTAGTTAAGATATGCATTGAGACAATCTCATAGTATACGTATAATACATTTGTCTAAAAATCAAGTACATAATCATGACACGTATAATTTTCTTAGAAAATATAGTCTTAAGTCTTTTAGTCACCTAATTATAAATTTTAAATTTCTTTGAGTAATCTCAAAACAGTCTTTTCGAATAAGGTATTTTCCAAAATCAGTGTTATTAAGCATTAATTATCTATACAGTACTTTATAGTTGAGATTTATTCACTAAGTGTCTTCCGTATATGTTTGTTAAATAGATGTTCAGTGGAGGAAATTTAGGTATTTTCAACATTTAAATGTAGAGTAATTTTTCAAAATGACCCTTTCGGATTAACCTTTTTCCAATTTAGGTCTCGGTTATAATAATTATAATTTTATCCCAATTGTGCATTTAGGGGCACCTTAATGTTTTGTCCCTCTATTAGCCACTCAAGTTCACGCTAGTAAATTTCGAATGAGGATAACCTCGCCTCCGATGCCCCACTTCATATCTATGTAGAATTTTGATAAAATTCACGTATAAAAAATATGTGATTCGTTTTTTTTGTAAATATTGTTTTGTTGTATATATTACATGCGAATATTTTTTTGTGTTTTTTAAAAGTTAGTAGTTGTGACTTCAATGAAGTCAAAAGTGAAGTACATATAATTATTTTAAAATGTTTTTGTAATTTTTCTTTGTAAAAAATTCTTGCAACTATATTTGTTTTGCTGTTTAAAAATAAATTCATATCAAATGAAAAATTGTTTGGATGTAAAATACAAGTGATTATTCTTACGTGATAATTTTTTAAAATTTTATGTGAAAAATGTAACTATTATTTTAGAAGTTGATTTTAACAATTTATACTATTATTTAAATTACTTTAGAAGTTGATCTTATAAAATTTTTAATCAAAAAAATGAATTTTAGTTCTCACTCTATTGCACAAAATTTCATGTAGGTTCTTATTTCTTCAATAATATTCCCTCTGTGTTTGGATTTGATCTTCTCAATTGACTTTTATTGTCAATTTTGTATACTTTAACCTCGATATATAAAACAAACATTGTCTTTCGATAGAAATGCATTGCAAATAACTTCTTTTTGAAACTAAGGAATCTCTTAATGTTTGGTAGCTCCTATTTTGGAGATAAAAAATACGCATTTTTATTTTGGTATTTTTTCTATATTTATTACTATTCAGGTACAAAGTATTTTTTTTCCCAAACATAAGACATATACTCTGTATACAACTTAAATTGGATCTACCCATATTTTGATTAAAATTTCTACGTAATTCAATCGTTAATAGGCGGCGGGTGATTTCTTAAAATGTTGCCATGCAGATTGGCCACTTGTCACAATTCTAGGAATTTAACTCTCAAATTTAATATATAAAGATAATGATTTGTTAATTTTATGTATAAACATTTTGAATTGTAACATAATATAAGTATGTACTGAGTAATCGTAAGTTACAATATAAGATTATTTTGATTAAAATAGTAAATCAAGTTACCAAGATAAAGTATAAAAGTCTTATTAAATCTTTTGTCTAATTTGTTTATTTTAAATATTCAATATTTTAAAAATAGTCAAATTATATGAAAATACTTTAATTTCATATCATAATTAGTCATCTTGCCATAAACAAAAGTTCTAGGTAAGATATGCATTGAGACAATCTCATAGTATACATATTATCCATTTGTCTAAAAATAAAGTACGTAATCTTGTCACGTATAATTCTTTTAGAAAATATAGTCTTAAGTCTTTTAGTCACCTAATTATAAATTATAAATTTCTTTGAGTAATCTATAAACAGTCTTTTCGAATAAGGTATTTTCCAAAATCAGTGTTATTAAGCATTAATTATCAATGTAGTACTTGATAGTTGACATTTATTCACTAAGTGTCCTCCGTATGTGTTTGTTAAATGAATATTTAGTGGAGGAAATTTAGGTATTTTCAACATTTACATGTAGAGTAATTTTTCAAAATGACCCTTTTGGATTGAACCTTTTTCCAATTTAGGTCTCCGTTATAATGAATATAATTTTATCCCAATTGTGCATTTAGGGGCATCTTAATATTTTCTGTCCCTGTATTAGCCACTTCATATCTAT